TGCCATATATTAAGACTGTTGAACTCCTGAGCTCTCAAATTTGGTCACTGTCACTTTATATTATAATGTTACTTTACCTTCTATATTCTAAACTGCTTCCACCTCTATACATGCATATTTATTTATGTTTCATGTTATACATTTTACTACATTCTGTTTACATTGTTTTTATTCATTGTGCATACTACCAAATATTTTTTTTCTCTTTTTGTTTCTGCTTGTGTGATTTTTCATTTTATGCATGTTTAAATGTATCGTAGGGAGTCTGAGTCCCAAGCTTTTGCAATGCCAACAACTGCTCTTGTAATTATTGCACACTTGACAACAGTATAGACAGTAACTTTGAACTTTGAATACATTTTGTTCTTTTATTTAATTATTTTTTTAGAGCTTCATATGGCGTATATTGCGAAAACACACCATACCCATCTCCACTGAGACCTCGTAGTTTCACTTTATTTGCCCAAATTAAATTCTGATTTCAGACACGGTCACCTTTCCACCCACAGGAAATCACGAATCAATACTTCAGTCCTGCCTCCAGCAGTGAGTGAACTGCACTCAAGTTAGAACTTTTCTCTCTCTCTCATCCTCTCGCTATAAGACATCGTAGGTTGGTCTGGTTGATAGACGTGAACTCAGTGTTTGTGCAATGAGCTCAAGCCACTTCACGCCTAGTTTGTACTGCCAACTTGTGAGGTTGCCCAGTGCACCTTTAAAGTTAACATGGATGCTACTTAGTTTATGAGTATGTTGTGTCTTCCAACTTTTTTTTATTACATCCCTCTGAGATAGTGGTTATTTTTTTTACATTTATTTGGGGCATTTCTGCTTTATTACAGATGAACAGAAACAATGAAGGCTGATTCATTAACATCTTAACATTGAAAAGAACCAACAGTGGAGGCAGGGAGGATAATTTTGAGGCCACAATCTGAATGAGCTTTTTACACTTTTCCTCTCAGACTCTGGTTTCAAGACAACAGATGCACATACTCTCTCCTCTTCTGTGGATGTGTGTGTGTCTATATTTTGCTGTTAAATTTAGATCCACTAAGAGTCAGATGTGTTGGGTGGCACTGAACCACTCCGACATGATCACTCCGGCTCTGACATATCGACAGGAGCTGTTTGTAATTGACATTTAACTGCTTGATGTAGTGAGTGATGATTGTCGGCTGCTGCCATGATGAGATAATGTACAGACTAAAGTGGGACCGACTATAAAATAATGAACCGACTCGAGCCTTGTCAAGTTGATCTGGAGCAAGCCCACCAATGGCAAGACCAGGCGGGTCATCTCCGTGGCAACGTACTGTACAGTACATTGCTGCATGGTGAGTGTGTTTGCCCTTGCAAGCCTGTAATACGATCCTACAAGCTGTTGTTGTGCGCTAATTGACAGGCACGTCCTGTACCTAGGGCTAATTTAGTAAAAATTGGAGCCTGATGTGTTTATCATTATAAGAAAATTTTACAGAAATGCATTCAGCAGCCATATGTGGAAAACATTACTTACAGCGCAGAGGACCAGTGTTCCCTCTGATCTGATAGTTTAGTGACCTGTGACTAATAATGTATCACACAGACCAAATAATTACAGCAGATTCATCCTCTGTCGCTGCTGTAGTTTGTTTCCAGAAAGAACATTTTCGTTTATGTTTGAGAGTCAAATGATAGCTGAACCATCCACCACAGTTTAGGGTTCAGTGAATAGACACTTCTGGGAATATTCCAGCTGAGAGGTGTGTGGTGATAATGGACTGTATGCATTAGCAGGGTTATGGTTTTGTTTGGAGTACAGTGTTTATTGACTGTGTTGTGAGAGGCTGTTATGGAGGAAATACTTTTATGTTCCACCTGCATAGAGTTGTATTTATTTTTGCATATCTGCATTAACTATCTGCATATCACTCTGCAGTGCTGTACTGCTGGAGAATGTTGATATCTTTGTAACTGCTCAGTGACAGCTGTTATACAATTTGGCTATATATTAGTGTTTTTAATGTGGTGTAATTGGTTGTTCAGAATAGTGTACTATAATGCACTGTTGTTACTATCATTTAGTGTATTTACCTATACTCTAATATGGTGGTAATAGATACAATACAAAGTTTTTACAAAGTCAAAATCTCAAGGCACACCTGTATTTACATCTATGCACAGCAGCCTCTATAACATGTTATCACTATTATCACGACATAAATGTTTGTTTTTATGTACTAATATTAAAAACAATTGACAACCAACTATTATTCATGACATATTTATGAACAAAATGATTCAGAATGATTCATTAAATGTTTTAAAATCCATCAAAGCACCAATAACGCACCCATTTAAATGGGAAATAATGTAAGATAATCTCAGATAATGTGATATATCACACACTTATAATTCCCTCACACGAATGGTGGCAAAAAGGTTCCCTGTAAAGGTTTTTTAAATTCAATTAAATTCAGTTAAATTCAATTACATTTTTTTAAAGGGAGAGTTTGCCCCTATTAAGAAATGGGCGCGCACGACATACTGATACAGTCAATTAGAAATTCATTCATAACTTTTTGTATAGGCCCAGTTGCATATTGCAATGTGTGCTTACCACAAAATCCCACGGCACACCTGGATTGACATCATATTTAAGCACTTAAATGTTGAAAACCACTCACAGGCTGAGCCAGGTCTCCTAGAAATGACATTTATATTCGACTGTATTGAAACAGCAAGTACATTTAGAGGGGAAACATAATGCAGAGGCAGTTATGTTTTCTATCAACATAATGAGGAAATGTCACTAATTAGCATCCCTGGCAAGTTGCAAAAATATGTTTATTGAACGTATCAGCAAAATGTTCACTGACAACATATCTCAGTTGTTTTTCCGCCAGAGTAGGCAATCTTGCAATACAGTATCTAGTCCTTTTTTTTTAAATTAACATTTAACCTAAATCCTGACATTTCCCTAACCTTAACCACAGTGCATGTGTTGCCTAAACTTTAGACAAGAGTCTTTGTTCTTACTTTTTTTTTTTTAAATTTTAGGGATATCACACAATTTTGTCAGACTTATTCACTTGTTTGCCAGAGAGTCAGGTAAGAACATTGATACCACTCTCACGTTTGTAACCTAAATATCAAGATGAAGCAGGCAATTAGCTTAGCTTAGCATAAAGACTGGAAACAGTAGGAAACAGCACAGAGGCTACAGTAACCCTGACAGAAATGTGATTTGTAGATTTTGCTCTTTGGTTTTTGTACAGTATCAACAAACGAAATGCAATGTACTAATTAATGACCTTTAAAGGCACTGCTTGGTTGTTGTTGTTGTTGTTGTTGTTTTACCTTAAGACAGACACAGGTTTGCTGTTTCCCCATGCTTGCAGTCTTTATGCTAAGCTAAGATAATTGGTCACTGGCTGTAACTTCACATGAGAATGGTATTGACCAGTGAGTGATATCCGCAGGTTTATCTAAAAAGTGAAGTCAATGGAGAAATGCCTTAAACCTGCTTTCTTTCTATTTGCCAGCAGGGGGCGACTCTACTGGTTGCCAAAAAAAAACAAAAAACGTCCACGCAAAAATGACCATACTTCTCACTTGATTTATTACCTCAGTAACATTTTCTTAATGAATTTATGGTCTCAACTGTCAGTTTCAAGTCTTCTTAGTACTACAGCATGATGTTTATTTTATAAATTATGGTCCCATTTAGAGTAAAATAGATGATAAAGTGAGATATGCTTCAGGGCGTGGCTTGCTTTTGATTGACACGTCGCTGCCATGGTTGTGTCCTAAGGTTCTCAGTCAGATCCACCCCTCCGTCATCAGCAACTCCACCCTCTCATCCAAATATGGTCACTTCTGGCCTCAAAAACCAAGATGGCGGCGGTCAAAATGCCAAACTCAAGGCTTTCAAACAGTTTCCCACAAACCAGTGAGTGACATCACTGGCTACAGCCATTACTTATGGTGCTATCAGTCATCTAACTCTCCACCAGAATGCAAGTAAATGTGTTTCCAAAAATTCTGCACTATTTTTTCAGTAATCAGAGGCCAAACAGTGGGTCAGTCATTCCACACTGATGCTGCACAGCAACTGAGAGGGAAACAAAATGAGAAAACTGTATTGCTTTTTAGCCATGACACAAAAAAGTGTGGTCTACTCAAGTCTAGTCTTTGTTGGTGGGTTCCTCAGCTTCGGCTTCCATGAATCAGAGGTCCATTTAACCCGTGTGCCATTTCTGGATGCAGAGACAACATTTTCAACCAATCAGATAAGCTGTAGAAAGAGGAGGGAGCTTTATGAAGTCAAACCCTTATCTCTGCTGTCACTGTGTCTTTGCTGCGCAGTGGTTTCTATTTTACTGGGTTGTGATAAGTTCTCTATGCTGGCAAGTGTGCTGTGATAGGGCTCTTATCAGAGTCTTTATTACATCCTCCTCCTACTTTATTGTGTCGTGATAGGGGCCATTAGTTCAGCCGGATTCACAGAATGCAGTGCTCAGACAGAGTATAGACCGAATTAACCCCAATTAGGTTGACCTGTATTTATGAAGAAGAAAAAACTACATCATGGTTTTCTTGGGGCACAGCTTTACATTTTGAGCATATCTCTGCCTAATTAGTTGATAAAATGTGGTATTGTGGTCGAATCTAAGGTCAAAGCTAGCCTAAGCTCGCCTTAAAGTCAAGGTCTCAGGGGAAGAAAAGCAAATGCAACATTTGTTGATTGTTGCATTTGCTTTTATACCTAGTGACCTCAAATCTTATTTATCTTCATCCTGTTTTCCAAATGTCAGGATTTTTATTTGGGTAACATTTATATTTTTTGTGATAGTATAAAAGGCTTCAGAAATTACTCACCTTTAATTTCTCAGTATTTATTTACTAAATCACTCTTATCTCAACTTGTACTGCAAGAATTACAACTCAAGGATGATATTGTCTTTCAAAGCTAGTTTGAGTGATTCCTGCATGAATGCCTGCTGTTTGTGTTGCAGAGTTTTGCAGAGAACACCATGAACGAGCTGTTGGGCTGGTACGGCTATGACAAGGTGGAGCTGAGAGACTCTGACAACCTGGAGATAGGGGAGACGCCACAGCACATCTCTGTCCTCAAAGGTAAGGAACTCTAACATGCAGTACAACATTTTGATGATGTTTTTTTTTTTAAATTAAAGCAGCTACATTTTTGCCTGGCTGGTGCGGCAGTCAACATTCTCAACTGCATCATTTTACACAGTGAGACTGCATGCTGCATTAGGTAATATCATCAGTGAGAATATTAAATGCCATGAATTGATCATGAAACATGTAAAACATATGGTATGCTCAACATGACTGTTAGTTGCACTTGTGTCAAAGGCCCTTAAAGGGACAGTTCACCCTAAAATCAAAAATACATATTTTCCCTCTTACCTGTAGTGCTATTTATCAGTCTAGATTGTTTTGATGTGAATCGCAGAGTGTTGGAGATATCGGCAATAGTGATGTCTGCCTATAACTAGATGGCACTCGGCTTGTGTTGCATAAAGCGCAAAAAATATATATATTTGAAAAAGCAGTGTCTTCTTCCAGAAATCATGACCCGGTTACTCAAGATAATCCACAGACCTTGTTGTGAGCAGTTTCATGTAGGAACTATTTTCTTTCTACACACTACACCCACCAACTATATTATCGCGCAGAAGGAAGCGTGCATCTACTCATGGACAAGAGGCTCTTGTGACAGCACGAGATGTAAACATTAATGGCATCCTCCTCGGCTGAGCTGTAATGTTAGCTATCTCAGTGGTGCTGGGTGAGGTAGCAGTAGATGCACACTTCCTTCTGCATGGTGTTACAGTTGGCAGGTGTAGTTTGGTAGAAAGAAAATAGCACCTACACAAAACTGCTCACAACAAGGTCTGTGGATTAACTTGACAACCTTGTCATGATTTCTGGAAAGAGTCATTGCTGTTTAGTTTTTAAAATACATATTTTTTGGCGCTTTGAGCACCACAAGCCGAGTGCCATCTAGTTCCATTATATTTGAGAGAAGGCAAATATCTCTGCGGCTGATATCACCACCACTCTGCAATTCACAGCGAAAAAATCTAGACTGATAAACAGCACTACAGGTAAGAGGAAAAACATGTATTTTTGATTTTAGGGTGAACTGTTCCTTTAATCCTCATTGTTGCTCATTCAGTCACTAATTCTTTGGGGGGCTTCAAACATAAACCCTTCCAAACCCAGCTTAAAAAACAGACATGCTTCTGTAGTGCGGTATAAAGTGATTTTAGGCTCACTGGTCTCTTACATTATGGGAGGATTTGCAGTGAGTGCCACAGCATCTCATCAGTTGTTCAGTAACTCTTTATTTTGCTCAATTTCCCCTCACTAGAAAACTTGTTGCCAAAAATCCCAGCTTCAACAGAGAGCAGCGAAGGCTCCCCGGATCGAGCCAACAGCTCCCACTCTTTGCCAACCTCCAGGAACGGAGTCACAGAGTCCTCCACCACACCGTCCACCTCCATGCCCAGCACCAAGGAACATGGCAACCTGCCCATTATAGTCCCCATGATCCCCCCACCACTGATCAAGCCCCCTGCAGGTAGGGAGTACTGACACCATTTTGGAAACACACCTACGGGAGGTGAATTGGAAAGTAGCTTGTACAAGTCTGTATTTGTTCAGAGAAAAAAGTAACAGTAAAAAACTGTATCAAACTGTACTTAAAAAGGCCAAACCAGCCCACCTCCAGAGCTGGTGCATAAAGTTTCAACTGCTTTATGCGTACTCGTGTGTGTGTGTTTTGAACAAGGCTACATTTTGCATTTCCAAATAGATCAAGGTCATTTTCAGCTCATTGCAGATTGTTGATGTATTTGCCCAAATGCACAAACACAAAGCACACACAGACATTTCTCCAGTCAAAACTGGCGTAGATCTCGTCCACAGTTGTTCTCCGGGCAGATTACAATGTGATGAAAGTATAAACCTTCTTGCTGATTCTTCAACACTTTGCAGGAGAGCAGAGAGTTTATGCGACATGAAAACTTTCTGTCTTTGCAATGGCACGAAAGCCTCCAAACCAGGCGACTAATGAGCTAGCTACCTGCTGTACACCTTGTTTTCCTCCACCTGCCCAAGTGTCAATATAACCCCATCAACTCTCTGAGGATATGTCCGGGTTCCTCGGCCAGACAGAGGGCTTCATTATCCCTTGCGTCTGCTGTGGCACAGGAGGTTGGTACGCCCCGGTGGAGGGAGCGTTCGCCTTGGCATCGCCCAAGAGGAGTCCCCGCTGGCCCTGCCTAGGCGGGGAAACAGATGGTGTGGTCCCAGTTAAAGCCCAGTACCAACCCACCACCCGGCCGACACCCCCTTCAACTCGCCCCTCCACCCCCCACTCCCACCCTCACACATATGCTGAATTATTCATGTGCCCCGCAAAATCCGACAAAGGACCTTTTGAGGTGCAGGTACGGCGGATGATGGTGGCATTTAGTATGGAGGCTACATAATTACTGGCGTGTTTTTTTCCCCCCTCATGCAGATGTGAGTGTTTTGAGATGGGCTTGTTACGAGGTGCCAGGATGTGGGGAAGGCAAAAACAACTCCACCTCAAGATGTCTCTTTGTATGAAAATGTTGAGATATTGTGAAAGATGTTGTGATTTTTTATGTTGGCCTTCGATCCTGTTCATTATGCTGTGGTACAGACATTATTCCGAGCAATGTACAAACCCTGATCCACCCACCCAGTCAGCCCAGAATGTCTTGTTTTTCTGTTATCACTGCAGTGGGCAGCAATCCAGATAGACACAAAAAGGCAGAGAGACTATGAGATAGAGCGTAGAGGAGAGGAAAGACATAAAATATGCATGTTGGGTCCACTGTGCTATCTTTAGGGCCTCTGGGAGTTATTTCCTTAATTGTGAGTTAGTCTTTACTTAAAATCTGATGGCCCCGTCGATCCATTAAGCTCAACAAGAGGTGAAAAGCCTGGCCGGCGTGCGATAAGGAGGTGAGCGGGGGTGAAAGACTAATGGGCCTGCGTCTATTCGCCCTCACACCCGCGTAGTCATAATGTGATAATTGGGAGATACTAGAGGGAATCTCGGAGGATCTCTCTCATTGCAACAGCGACAGCACTAAAAGCCCGCAGCTCATCACCGGCAGTCACAGTTTACCACAGAAGAGGCATTTCACTGTCGCTGAGGGTCTGTTAAAATAATTTGTTGCCCACACTGACCACACAGCTCCATACCTCCGAATCAAAGGTTAAAACGAGGAGCTGGTTTTGAAGCCATTAACGTGGATTTCAGAGGATTACACTTTGTTCTCAAAGAAATGTTTTGAGGATAAAATGAATTTCATTCGAAGGAGGGCTGTGTTGAGGTCCTGGTTGTGTTCTCTCTGACCTTTAAATCCACAATTAGTTTTTTGAACGCCTTCTTGTTGTATTTGTACGGAGAGCTTAGGGCCATCCCTCCACAAAGGTCATGAAAAGTGTTAGGAAGGCTACTTTTGAAATGAAATAGGCTACATTACTAGTTACACTGAAAGATGTGATAAGCAATGTAACTATTTTAACTGCATCATCAAAGTTAAGCAACTTATTTCATTTGATTACTTTTTGTATGTGCAGCAACTAAACAAGCTTTACACTACAGTGATGTTGCAGCTCCTTTTTTATTTCAGAGGGGAAATAATTTTTATTTTTGTAAACCCATTCATTTAAAAGCATTCTCGTCAGACGACATGGCCACCCACCTTGGTGTGGTCTGCTGGTCGCAGGTATGGCAGACTCAGATTGCAGAGGGGGAACAATGGTATTGATTTGACTAGCAGATGAGAGGCAGAGCAAATTCAAATAAGAAAACTGTTCAAAAACAGTGCTCAAAATTTGAGTGCACACTGCCAAATGAATGGAGCCTATCTGGATGTAGAGACAGCTCCTTGATGGTTTGCACTCAAATTTATCCCAAAGCCTTTGCTGAAATGCGTTGTGTAGAAATATGCCAGAAATATTCCTGCATGGCAAAAAAATGCAAAGCAACAGAATGAAAATTATATTCTACATAAAAGCATTTCTTAAAAGATAATATGTCTGAATGTAACCCCTTTGTAACATTTTAGCAACTGTAATTTCATTACATGTGTTATTTCAGTAACTGTAACAGATTAAATTTACATATATTTTTCATTTAATTATATAACTCTGTTACATGTGGCTAGTTACTTTCCAATGTTGGACATGACTTTAGACAAAGCATCATTATCTGTAAAATAAACCTACACACTTACATATATCAACTAATAAATAGTAGAACAATCATACATGGACTTAATTTCACTGCAATCCAACTCAACTGCTGCAAAAATGCCCATACACATACAAATATACACCCACAGACACAAAATACCAAAAGCTAGTGTAATGGTTGCTTTTGTCAATATTTGTATTTGTCACCTTAATTCTACATGCATACTTTTCTTTGGTATTATTACTCACACATATAGGTTTAAACTATTATATTGGGATTTCTGAAAGAAAACTACCAATAACCATTGTCTCATTTGTTTCTTTTTTTCTAACTGTGCCCATTTTATCATTTACTCCCTTTCTATACGTGACCATTTAACATAACAACTGTCTACAATCACCATGCGCTTTGTCGTATCATTAACATCCTATAGCTGTAACCTTATAGACCTTTTCATTGGCCCCTGTTTATTTCCTGTCAGATACTGCATTAACACACATTGCAACAGGAAATAGTCTACAAAGAATGTTTATGTTTCCAAGTTTGAAAAGGTCTGTATCAGTGGTTCCCAACTGGTCCAGCCACGGGGTCCAGATTTCTCCTTGGTTGTTAGTTCAAGATCAATGCAGTTTATTCTGTTCAGTGTCATACTTGCATTTGGCCATGTAGTCAAGCTAGTTTGTTGTCTCTGTTAAGTAGCTGTCTGTAAGTCACTTAAGCAGGAAATGGCACTTCATAATAAAAGCTCTGTGCCAAAAATTCACTGCACTTAAAAATAAAATGTGTTTTTTCAAACTTGGCACATTTGCAGTTCACTTGTGGTCCGTTTAGAATGGACTTGCGACCCACTTTTGGACCGCAACCCTGCAGTTGGGAACCACTGGTCTATATGACATGACACTGTGTCTTCTATTTCTGCTTCTTTTTCCTTATGCTTTTTTTTCCATTCTCTCTGACCTCAGAGTGACCTCATCATGAATAATTTGGGACCAAACGAGGAAGACCCAAAAAAACAAAATGAAACTGTGTGGAGTGTGTGGTAGATGGATGCATGGGGTTTCAGATCAGGTCACTTTGGATCAGAGTTGTCATAAATACCTTCTTGGATTTAACTTTTATTAACCCAGATGTATTGTTCTGTGAAACAAGTCAAGTTAAATTTAATTATAGAGCACTTTTAAATATAGCAAACATTGACCAAAGTGCTTCAAAAAGGAATTAAATTAAACAGAGGAACGATGAAATAAAAACAGTCATAAATAAGAGAATATAAGAAGAAAAAAAAGCATACACCATCTTGATAGATTCATGACGCAAAAAGCAGCAAATTAAAAAATGAAATAAAACCGGAGCACAGTCATGGTCAGGCATGAAAAATCATGATCACGTTGAATGGAGAGCCGTGATTGGTCCCCTAATCTGAGGGATCGGGAGGTAAATGAATAAATATCACCCATTTGACATTTATGTTGCAACACAAACTATGAGAATTATTTAAAAATTCTCTGTGATGCTGTAATACACTCACACAACATGCAGCAGGGACACCACACCCTCTGTCTCAGCCTCCATCGACTCCAGCATCATCAAAGCACATCCTTGTGTCCACTTCAGGTTCTTTAATACCCACAGAGCACAGCCACAAATAGGCATCTTCCCATGTCCCCGGCTCATCCGGTTCTACATTTACCCATGGCAGGCCTTCATTATAAATCCTGCAGTGGTTTTGTGGCTTGAATCTTGAGCGGATTTAACCAGCTCTAGCTGGGCTGAGTCTGTGGAGTTAATGCCTTTTGGTCCTTGTGTTTAATACATCTAGTTGTTTCATGCATGTTTATAGTCTCCACCATGGACTTGCACTTGAAATATAATACATGTCACTCTTGCTGAAGCATATTTTGTAATAAAAATCAGACTACATTGATCGAAGTCATAACATAAGGTCAATTTTGATTATAATGTCAAACATAATGAGTAGTAAATAGTAGCTTTTCATTTCTGTGAGTGTGTGAAAACTATAATAAAGTAAAAAGGCGTTTCAATAGAAAAATAAAATAAAATAAAGCCCAAGTCAAAGTTTTCAGAATGATCCTTTGTGGTGGCTGAATGCTCAGGATAATGGATTGTGATTTAAAAAGAGACTGTTTAGGAAAGAATAATTGTTTTTCCTCATTAAATTACACAATGAGCTCAATCCACTTTCACTATTGGCTGTTTCTTTAGATGAAGATGCATCCAACGTGCAGATCATGTGCGCCTGGTGCCAGAAGGTCGGCGTCAAACGCTATTCTCTGAGCATGGGGAGTGAGCTGAAGAGCTTCTGCAGCGAGAAGTGCTTCGCCGCCTGCCGCAGAGCCTATTTCAAGAGAAACAAGGTAAAAATCCTCCCTTCTCATCAGCTGGACACTTTACTGCAATGTCTAATAGTCTTTGCACAGATACAGTATGACACAAATCAGCTGGCAAGTGCATGTGATTGTCATAAAGGCCCAGAGGAGAGTATAAGTGTGACATCATGGTTCCAAAAATTCATAAAACAAGCATGAAATGAATCTTTATATTGCGATATATTCTTGTAAGCACAAAATGTTTCGTTATCATGTGGTGAACAAACATTGAGAGTAGCATGAACTGGATAGAATCCTAATGTCACGGTGTTTATCAGCTGTAAAGGTTCTAACATTTAAAGGATTAGTTCAACAGTTTGGGAAATTCACTTATTTGCTTTACTTTCAAGAATAAGATGACAAGATTCATACTGTTCTCATGTCTGTGTGTTAAATAGGTAGCTTGAGGTGGGAGGCAATTAGCATAGCTTAGCATAAAGACTCATAGTGGGGAAACAGCTAGCCTAGCTCGCTCCAGAATTCAAAATAAAGCTGCTAAAACCTTTAAAGCTCACAATCAACACAACAGCACAAATATGTAAGCAATTTGTGGTTTTACAGGGAGTTACTTTAACTATTTCTTAAAGAACAAGCGTATTTCCCAAAATGGTGCACTTTTTCTTTAAGTTGAGGCAAGTAAACAACTGTGGGTGAAGTTAGTGTTGAGTTAGGTTGCCATAATAACTTGGGTCTGAGTTAAGCCAATTACAACAGTTTGGTTAAGTTTTAGCAATGGTTATACTGTATATGAGAACTTGATACATGGTATAAACTGTATTCTATGACCCTGACAACACTCCTTTTCACTTTCTGAGCATCTCCTGTTTCCAGTCATGCCTGCGTAATTTACTTTAATCTTTTTGTGGAAGGGAAACAACTCTTCTACTTGCTTTTTACACTCATATTAACAAAATTTCGCAATAAAAAGGGGAAACACAACAACACACATTACATTATTTCTGAATTTAGGTGACACAGTGAATTGAGAGGTCATTTCAGCTAATTTCAATGAGGGAAAAAAACAGTTTATGTGATCTGTGGACAACTCACTTAACAACCCAATTGCTTGAAAAACTGTTGGCATCGTATATTTCTGCAACCAAGGACATGTTACATGTGCATGTTATTATGTAGCAGATACGTTTCAATAATGCTGTGGTAAACATGTCGTTAGGTTTTAGGCACAAAAACCAATTGATTATGGTTAGGAAAAGATCACGTTTTTAGCTTAAAATACCCGGTTATGTGCCACAATCCCTGCTAGAAACACAGCACCGTCTTGGTAAAAAAACAATCACTTTTTGTGCCATGATTCTGGCTGGAAGCACGGCAATTTCTTAAAAAAAAAACAACCACTTACTGTGCCACTATCCCTGCAGAAAATGCAGTGGTGTCTCAGTAACAAACAATTGCTTTTCATGCCACTGCCCCAACAGGAATTGCCACGATGTCGTGGTAAAAACACAACTGCTTATTGTGCCACTTTCCCAGCAGGAAATGCAGTGGTGTCTTGGTAAAAAACAACAGTTTTGCATGGCACTATCCCCACTGGAAAAACAGCTACATGTTGCTACAAAACACCCACATTTGGTGGTTAAAAAGCTGCTAGAAAAGCACCAATGACTCGCTAAGTCACAACCAGTTTTGCTGCTGGCTTCGAACAGTGGTCTGCAGTAGTCTGCAGTTTGGCATCCGTCTCACTTAGGTGACACTCCAGCAACCATCCCCTCTACATCCCGATGACAAGGTCAACTCATACACTACTTCACTTTAGAAATTTTGATGTGATACGTATGAAACGTGCAAATGTAACATATTTGTGGTTTGCTGAATATGCAATGCCAAAATGTCTTCTGGAGACAGGACTGGACCAATAGATTTAGCAGATCAGCCAGTCTTAGTGTTAACAGACACAGACAAATTTTCACTAACCTATCTTGACCAAGGGGCAAACAAGATTTGTGACTGACGGTCAGCTAACATGATGGTGTATTAGCTAAGTTGCTAAAATTATTTACACACAAAACTTGTTTCGTTGTGTCTTCATGTTTTGTGTGTAAATGACGAAAATAAACTATGTCTAATAGGGTCTGTTGGGATAGCAAAGTTCAGAAGTTCATTGACTGTCTTTATGAGAGCAAGAGCAGAGAGCCTCTAATATGGCTGCCAGAAAATGTTACATCATCTGGTAAGCTCTTTATAAACATGCACTATATTCTGCTTCTGACAGAGCCAAATGAAGTTTTCATGACATTTTGATATTCTGTGAGCAGGAGCGTTATCTGTTGTAGCTTTGGCTATTATTACACTTAAGTCTGACTCAAGACAGAAAAAGGTCATTTTAACTAAAAGAAATTGTTTAGAATGTCAAGTTAAAAACCCTCTCATTACTTTTTCAGGTCTGGCTTGAATACAAAATGCATAATACATTCAACTAGAAACCACTGAGAATAAATCATGGATTTTTACTACAGTACAAAAACACCTTCAGGCAATCAACTCCAAAATGGCTTGGTCACCGCAGTGCATAAGATGCAAGAAGGCAAATATCAAAGTTGTTATTGTGTTCTCATTTTCCCCTCGATGACTGTAGTTAAACAATCTCCTTTCTTTCTTGTACCAAAGCTGGGATATATAAGGAATTACGCTGTGAGTATGACGTGTTTTACTCTCCTGCTTGTCTGTCCTGAAGTCAGTTATTCATCTGAACATAATCACTTTTCAAGCACTGCACTGGAGCAGGAATAAGTAGGGGTGCACTTAGAGTATGTCTGTTCATTTCAGTTGGTGATATCCAGTTTCTTTTCTTTTCTGACACTTTTTCCCAAAGCATGAGAATCAAGCTGAGCCTTGCGTCTACTGTACTGTTGCTCATACTATGTGTTTTTCATTTTCTACCTTAACATTTTAGCTCATTTACTTTTATAGAAAGTTTGTAGTTTCTCATCCTACTGAATGTTGAAATGGTGACAAATGATCTGTCTTGTCCTGGTGATGACAAGGAGAGCCTGACATGCTGAAACCTCGTGGGGGGAATGTGTCACAGTTGAAAAAAGCTATAGATCTTTATATATCAGATTAAAGCGCAGCTTTTAAACTGCTTTTATTTTGTTCTAAGAGCTTCAGAAGAGGTCAGAAAAAAAAAAGTTGATACAAGTCTTTGCCATTTGACACGCAACAAAGTTGACAAGGCAGCTACATATCAATCAGAGATCAATCGGGGAGGCTGTTAACATGACATCAAATGTAAGGCTGATGTGAAGAGAGCTCCCTGTTATAAGTCTGTGGGCCTTGTCAACAGTTAAACACATCCAAATAAAGTTTATATATAAGGAAAGTACGAGTCATTTAAAGGTTTTGTATTTTCCTTACTCTTACCTTACATATATCCTGTATAGTACATTCATAGTTTGTGACTTTCCTGGAGATGCTCATGGCGTTAAAGGTACACGGATGTGTGGTGAGAAAAGTATGAAAAAAGACAAAGATGCAGCAACACTCTCTCCAGTATTTTATGCTCTCCCCTTAATCAGCCTCAGACTTTTGACAGACGTTTCAAAGCATGTCCTCTCACTGCAGTGACAGCTCTTCATGCAAGTTATAGTTGAGGGAAAGTCTGAATTTCAAAGTGACAGGCTAAATCATATCAGTCTTAGCAGAATTTTTTTTTACCTTATGAGCTGTGATACACGGCCAGTCGACCTAACTGGTGTCCCAGCGTAACATTTACTATACAATTAATAGTTCCAAAATACCTTAATAATGCACATTTTTACTATTTAATTATTGTATGATTGAAATTAGCACTGTGCTTGATGCAGTAATATTTGATTGTTCTGCTTCACTTCCCTAACAAAGAATGTTTGCCACTGTAAAAAACATCCTCTACATCTTATACTGATACTGATACTTTGGAATTATTACTATAAGTAAATAAAATCAGGACGATTTGTAGACTCTTGAAAATTAAGGACATATTTGTATGGAAGCCCATTCTGCCAAAAACTTTTTGTTTTTCCAATTTATATAATAATGGATTGTTTTTCCTCATTATTATGACATATTATGTTAAAAATACTAAGTCATAATTATGAGATATAATTATAATTTTCATTTTAAGTGGCGGAATTGGGCTTCCATAATTTAAAGCCATAAATAGTTGAGCTGGGGATTTAACCTAGGACCTTAGATTTGAAAGCAAATGTAAAATATTTAGTAACCTCTGCACACTTTCTTTTGACAGTGTTATTTTAGTGTCAGAGCTATTTTCTGTTTCTTGACATGCCTTCCTATTAGCACTTCTTTTCTGTATGATTCCTTGATTTCCAAAATTAGGTGACACAGTTGACTCTTATCTCTAGCACTGCTATATGCAGGAAAACTGTCGAGAGGCAATCTGTCTTGATTTTAAAAACATTGTTTTACCATTTTTATGTGACCAGGCAGCAGGAAGACTTGGTAAACCAATCAATCTTAATGTTACAAGAGACAACTAGCTACTTGCTAACTCACAAGCTACTTAAATGCAAACCTTAACATCTACTTAATATCTTTTAGCCTACTAATGGACAGATAAAATTTGCAGGACTTGGTAACCTGATGCTATGGTGTTCCAGCTTAGAAGCTAACATTATGTAAACACACACAGCCCTCTCATCCCCAGGTCATCAAATACCTACGCTTTGTCACACCTCTCTGCGTGTGATAATGACGCTAAAGGCACCCCTTAGCATCTTTATGAGACGCACACATAGACTGTATAAAATAATGGATGTAGCTACCATGATGTCACCCATTGGTTTGTGGACTGCCATTCTGTAGTTTTGATACTGCCTGTCAGCCTGTCACTCAAGCAGCTTTGCCCTTAAATATGCGTAACTTTGGGCCTTAGTAAATTGTAAACAGCTGGGTTATATAAAAATTCACCCCAGTACAGTTGTCATGAATGTTGACATTAGCTATAGAGACCAAAACCATTTTTTGTAACAGGCTGTAAATGTGTTAATTTATGCTGTAAAGTTGTGCATTTTAACATGGGGGGATTACTCTGTTTCGGAGACAGCCTCAAATGGTTAGTAGATGAACTGTAACATTCTGCACTTCCGTATTGGCTTCATTTTTCAACCTTTGAGGTTGCCGCTTGGACACACTAACCTTTCAGCTTACTTTAATGTAAACCCATAACCCATGCGGCAATACTTGATGCTGAAAACTGAGATAGTATAAAGAGCGAGAAAGTCCACGCAGAGTGGAAGGGAGGGGAGTGGGATGGGTCAGACACAAGACAATACCTACACACAGGAGACTGCAGTTTATGTCCCATCGTGACACGTGTTAACCATGTGTTACACTTTCATTCAGCTGTGCGTCAAGTGACGCGCCCTGTGTGTCACTATGAGACGCCGTGGGGCATGACAAAATGTTGGTATATGATGGCCCGGGAATGAAAACAGGTTGATACACAATCATTTTTCTGTGAAAACCACACAGACCTAAAGAAGGTCTATCTCTGTTGAGTTGCCCAAGCGAGATAGTGGGTGTGGTAACCAACAGTATCATCCAGCAGATCTCTCTGAAAATGAATCTTGGTGATGGTCAATTTTGTTTTATCTCAATTACAATAATGTCTATGTTACTGTTATTAATTAGTGTTAAATATGTCATGTGGCTGCTTTGAGATTTGAGCTACTTGAGGAGAGCACCTTTATTGGATCTATGCGTGAGCAGAACAGATTTGTACAAATATAGTCAACTGACATCATCAGTGTTTATTGCACTTATCGCACAGTTTATAGAATTAATATCATTTTCATACACACATTCCTGTTAGAAGCCAGTCAGCCATATTGGATGTTTCCTTCATCCATCAGCAGAATGCACATGTTCAAACATCACAAACACAGGAAAGGCCTGCTCTGCCACAGCGGCTCAGATTCTATATTTTGTCTGGCTCTCTCACATTCATGCAGGCCATTTGTGTAAGCGATACCCACATGTTTCTTTTCTCATGCACCCACAAGGTTGGCCACAACAACACGGCCTGCAGGCTTTCTTTTTTTCCAACTGAAAAGAAAAAAAATCGTCATGGCTGAAAAGAAGTATCTCATGTCTGCGTGTGCTTTGGATCGGTGAGAGGAGACGTGGGGGAAGAGGGGAGGTGGGGGGGGGTGGGGGTGGGGGTGGGGGGTGTAGGGGGCGGGCAACGACTCTGGCATTATGTTGCATGAAATATCTTCAGCTGCCTCATCCATGAAACCCAATCCCCTCCTAGGGTGACTATGGTTGCTACTTTCTCACATCTTGGCATAACTCTATATAATGCAGTGTGTGTATGTGTGCGGCGAAAGATGATTGATAGTTTAACTGGGGCTAATCACTTATGTGCCTGTTTACTGTATGCCTTAAACTGCTGGATTAGTTTGTATGGAAGGTGCTGCTTCCTCGCCGCTCGCACCACTCAATTATTCTGTCTGTCACCTCACTCTGCCTGCTCACTTCCATTTACTTTTTGACTGTCCACTATTGATCCAGACACATAGCTCGGCTCTTTTTTTCTTGTTTTGTCATAACTTAGGGTGTGTGTGTGTCTCGCTGGTTTGCGTGGCGAGCTCTGCAAAAGCCAGTTTGAGTGGAAAGATACCAACAGAGGATTGACACGTACAACAGCCACCTTATCGGACAGTTTTTGGGGGGATTAAAGGCATTAATTTAAAACGCGGGGTGGAGTTTTGCTTTCAGCTGTAGGTAGAAGCTGCTCAACTGTCACGCTTTTACACGCAGCCGTACGGTTTCTCCCGCTATCTTACACCCACACATACACTGATAAACATGCTTGCTCATTGGACACAGTGCCAAGATTAAGTTAGGCAATTAGCAGTGATGAATTACCTCCTGTGAGTGTGTGAAGCATGGCGGCAAAAAAAAAATTTGTAGGTGAGAGGATGCTTTGCTTTCTCATTGTCAGTCAGTCAGCCTTATATTGCACAGGGACACATATCGTCCACATATATCGTTAAGGAGTTGGTTTGACATCAATTGTGATGAAATGTTGTTTGTTGCTGTTGCAATCGCTCCAACAATCTGCTTTTCTCTGCAGTTTGGTTTGTGTTCAGGAGCTTTTGGGCTCGGGCTTCAGAAAAAGAAATGCTTACTGGCTGATTGTAGACTGGTATGTTGTGGTTGAGAAGCAGCTAGAGGGAGGACTAATTCAAATCCCCAGTAGAAAGAAGTTAAGAGTGGCTTATCATGTGTCATCTGCAGGGCGATTTATCATATTTTGTCACGTAGAATTATAGACAGCTCAATATACTTAAGTTTCCACATCTTTCTACATAAATGCAAATAAACATATGTACCATGTCTTCTGCTTCCACAATATTCAAAAAAAGGCAGACAGCGAGGAGACTCCAGGTTGCATTTTACAGGTCGTTTCTGCCGCAGCGCAGGGCTTTTTGTTCACACCACGAAATTCCCCCCCGGAGACCCCAGACCTCCATCAGTGTCTTTCCCCGGGAGCTCCCTCCAGGCGCGAGGGGGCAGAGTGCCGCTTCATGTCAGCCCAGAAATGTCACATCACCTCAAACACACACACACACACACACACACACACACACACACACACACACACAAATGCCTCCTCCACACACAGC